TCTCTCTCTCAAAAATAAATAAACATTAAAAAAAAGAATATGTAATGTATCTAATTCTTAATCTGCCAAGGGTGAAAAATGAAAAGAGAACCTCCAAGTAAAAAACAAAAAAGCAATATATCATCATTAGGTCAAATCTATTTAAATTCTTTTTTTTTTTTTTTTTTTAATAAGGTGAGTTGGATTATCCGTAGCCTAACTGGTCTAATTAACTCAACTTTTTAAAAGCTGGTTCTATGAAGGAGAGAGAGGTAAACACACAAAGAAACAGGCCACATACAATTCGCCCTGGGCAGGTGCTTAAAATTTAACTGTTTGGTATACCTCTATCATAGAGGGCCCACCATCCTGCACCTAGAACGTGCTCTCTCTGAATATACACTTTGGAAACTATCTCAGAATGATCCATTTTCATCTTGCATGGCTCATATGTTAGAAATATCTGATTTTAACTGAGTCGAAATGGCCCTGTGACACCTTTGCATCTATTTTCCTCAGTTCTTTACCTGGGAAAGTATCTGGAATTTTTGTAGCAACTGCTCATGAAAAACAATTCACTAAATGAGTGGATCTTAAAATCTTTGTGATATAGCTGTGGGCTGGCACTAAAATACTCATCTTAGAGACAAGACAAAGAGATTGAACATGTGGCCCTTTGTCACAAAAACTACAAGACAGTAAAGCCAAAATTCTGTCTGGATCCATCTAACTCCTGAGAGGCTTGTTCTTCTTAGTTTATCATACTCTGCTTTCTAGGCCTTATCCTCCTTCCATCTGATTATCTTTCAAATATTTTATTTTTCTGTCATGCTCTCAAATATTTTCTTTTTCTGGTTGAAAGCCTAAAATCCCTTCCTATGAAATCATTCACATCTCTTTCATCAGTCAGTTTCTCTAGAAAGCCCTAATTTATCAGTGGCAGATGTTTACTGAGCACCAATAAACCTGAGCTAGATGCAGGAGCATACACTAGTAAATCAGCCAGACATGACCCCCGCCCTTATAGAACTTTGAGTCCAGCAGGGAAAACAAATATTCCCAAAAGGTAATACTACACAGAATCAGTAAAAGGGACCCAGGAACATATAACTGTGGGAACGCCCATAGTACGGGGACCATGAAATACTTCCTCACAAATGTCAGGTGATGGGTCTAACATTACTTTCCATGTGAGTGGGTTTGTCTCAAGCCTTCCTCGATTGCGTGCAAACCTGACATTTCACACAGGTCAAGAAAAACAAAGAGCAGCCTTAGTTTCCAGGCAAAGGGCATCCCTGAGGTTTCCAAGATTAAAGACATAGGATTCAAGCTTTCCCTACTGCATGGTAGCCATGTCAATGACAAATCCTGTCAATGCCTTGGTGTTTCACCTAATGAGAACACAGATCCCCCACAAAAAGGCTACCAGCCCCACGGGCACCCTTGAAAATCGAGCCACAGAGATGCTTTGACAAAGATAACTGCAAGCTATTATTTGTAAATTCTCCTCTAATAGTTCTGATTAAGAATTTCAGGGGAAAAGAAGACAACATAAAAATACGAATGTGCTAAATTTTTAAAAACACCTTGACTACACATTATGTGCAAGTAAATCTCAAAACAACATGCCATTTTTATGAAACTTTAAGGAAAGCTTTCTACTAATAAGTAAAAGAAAATGAATGCATGCTTTCAAATTGGTTGAAGCTCTACGATGCCTCGAAAATGCTGTTGGCTGTTTTGTTTTGTTTTGTTTTCTTTTGTTTCATCCAGGAGCAAAACTTTACAGATGCATTTCAGAAGTGAGTGGCTTCTAAACTTATCGACAAAAAGAATATTGCACACTGAAATGTGTCAAGTTTTGAAGAAAAAAAATATATACTTACCTGACAAAGATACTTGCTCTTGTTAAAAAATATGTATCTGGATAGATATATAGACAGACAGATGATAGATAGATAGATAGATAGATAGATAGAAAGATAGATAGATAGATGATAGATAACAAAGTCTGTCAAACCAGGAAGGATGTGGGTGGCAAGATGTTTATTCAAGAAGGGCAGGAACAGGGAATCAGGTAAGTATTCAGGCACAGAGTAAAGCATGAACCCCAAGGCCGTAAGGATCATCTAACATCCACAACACAAAGACTATAAAGCTTATGCTTTGGGGACAAGGAGTCCAGACAGAGGTCAAAACAAGTCAAATGGGATCTTGCTTTGATCCAAGCTCATATACACAGGCCAGGGTATTTTATAATTCTTTCTTTTAAACTGGAAGCAAACAAATGGAGAGGGAGTGAAGGACTGTAGGCTAATCAGAGGCCTCCGGGCACATCTATTTGGGGCACCTCGAAAGCAATGAGGTGACAGAGAAAAAGCTCTAGCTATCATACATAACTTTCATAACTCATACGATAAATGATATACTAAAGTATCATAATTGAAATCCAATTTCTATTTGTTATATCCACATTCTCTAATAGAGTGCTTCTCAGAATGTTCCATCAAAGCATCCTTCTAGCAGATGAGATGGAATGAATTTACCCCAGGTCTGGCAGTAAAAATTAGGCAGTGACAGCAGGTTCAAAATGTCTATAAACACATATGTTTTATGTTAAGAATTCATGGAGATTTTGCCTTCTTCTCTGAATTAATGTTTGTTTTAAAAGTATTTTCAAGCACTTAGGAGTGACATTTCCTCTTCTAGGTCTGATTAAAGTGATGCTCAATGAAATGTACACTATTTAGCCTGTAACTTCACAGATCTTCAGGTGCTCAGTCTTACTATTCCTGTGGTATAAAGACCCCGGGGAAAGCAAAACATCTCATTTCTGTTGGATGGTTTTCATTTCTTTCCTAGATTCAAATCCTCATTCCATAACATTATAGCTATGATATAGTAAAAGTAGCACAGTTTTGAGAGGCAGAAATAGCTGACTTTTAAACTCAAGTCCTCTATTCACTAGCTTTGCTGTCTCAGGCAAGTGATTTAGCCTTTCTGAAGCACAATATACTCTTTTTTTTGCAATAATATTTTATTTTAGTTATTATTTTTTAATATGAAATGTATTGTCAAATTGGTTTCCAT